TGTGTGTCTGAGTGAGTGAGCGTGCATGTGTGTCTGAGTGAGTGAGCGTGCATGTGTGTCTGCGTGAGTGAGCGTGCGTGTCTGAGTGAGTGAGTGAGTGAGTGAGTGAGTGCGTGTGTCTGAGTGCGTGCTTGTGAGTTTGAGTGAGTGAATGAGTGCATGTCTGAGTGAGTGAGTGCGTGTCTGAGTGAGTGCGTACGTGTGTCTGAGAGAGTGAGCGTGCACGTGTCTGAGTGAGTGCGTGCGTGTGTGTCTGAGTGAGTGCGTGCGTGTGTGTCTGAGTGAGTGAGTGCGTACGTGTCTGAGTGAGTGAGTGCGTACGTGTCTGAGTGAGTGAGTGCATGCGTGTGCATGAGTGAGTGAGCGTGCGTGTGTCTGAGTGAGTGCTTGTGAGTGTGAGTGAGTGTGTGAGTGAGTGAATGCGTGTCTGTGAGAGTGTGCATGAGTGAGTGAACTCTGATCTGTACACTTGGGCTGAAGAGCAAATGACAATGTGTGTATGGGAACAACACAGGGGTAATAGGAGGGGATTCAGAGCCTTATGTCACTGTGGAATAAGGAGAGCTTGGCTAAAACCTATAGAATTACATAAAATAACATTTTTATAAAGTCCCATCAAATTTACACAGTGCACCATCCCTCCAACTGAAATCTGTTAACATGCCCAGGTGTCATTGTTACTGTAGTAAACACTGATGTCAGACTGAAGTAACTGTAAAAGAACTGGTTGAAGGTTTAAGTACTTTTCTCTCAGTGTTTACAATGAAAACACTCAAAAGGTGGAGAGGCTATGAGCTATTGCAAGTTGTAATACATGTTAAGACAAGTTTTTGTTTAATTCTTACAATTACCACAAACTGCACTGTGTTAGCATGGAACTGTGTAACCTTTGTCAATTGTTGTAAAACCAATCCATCCAAGAATGCCCTTTAGGGAGGGAAAGCACCATCCTTTCCTGCGCTGGCCTACATGTGACTCCAGACCCACAGCAACGTGATTGACTCTTAACTGACCTCTGAGATGCCGCTTGAAAGCCACTCTGTTCAAGTGCCAAAATAGTGATGGGCAATAAATGTTGGTCCAGCCAGCAGCGCCCACATCCAGGAATGAATAACAATTCTTTTTAAAAACCACAAACAGCATAGATGCTATTAATGGGACTGTGTGAATTTCAATGTTGACTGTTAAAAACTCAGGCTTTCATATTTATGTGAGATTGATCTAAAATACAGTAACTAACAATGATGTCGTGAATTTTAAGAGTTTGCCTTGGTGCTGCTTTGTTTTTGTTGACATCTGGGGCCAGAACTGTCAAGCGTTAAAATCGGACCCCATTGGAATAAGTTGGGAAGAATTGCCCTCCTTGTCTAATGATTTTGAGAGAGCATCACTGCAGAATTACCTCTCCAGCCTTTTTGTGTATGTATTTATCCTGTAATTGACTTGTAAAGAGTACATTTTAACCATCGATTCCACTATTTGTACAAATTGTGTCCTCATCGCATATTCAAAATCTCAGTTTTTGACTCTTTTGGAGACATTGGAACAGATTCGCCACCTTAGCCCAATTCAACCAGACCACAGCTGACATAAGTCTTAACCCCATTCACCCAAGTCTGTTAGGTAACTTTTAATTCTTAAACAAAACTTTGTAAATGTCGAATGAACCTGCCATCGAAAGATGGCGAGAGCTTCAGACCTTGCCTTCCCTTTGTTTGAAGAATTACTACCTGAAGTTTCCCTCGTCAGCCCAGGTCTAATTTTTAGGATGTGTCCCGTTGTTTGGAACTTTCCCATCTGAGAGCATGCCTTCTTGCTGAAAAATCCTTTAATCATTGCAACCATCCCAATTCCGATCAGCTCATAATCTTCAGTATTCAGAGGCATTCAGGGCATTCCATGCCAATGTGCTCATAACCTTTTATCTTGATATTAGAGTGCAACTTTAACACAAGCATCTGCAGCGCTAGGTTTCAGTACAATCTTAGGCCATTCTATTTCTAAACAGACAGCTCCACAGTTCAATGAAGAAGTTGAAAGTTACTCAGCTCCTCTATCCATTGCACTGCCCATGGTCAGAATGCTCCACTCCCATTTAAAGACGTATTTTAATTTAATATTTGTGCAATTAAGTAAAGCTGAATTCATCACCTCGAGACAATTTTCAAAGCTTTCCTTATTTTTGTAAGCAATACAATTCCCGATTTTTAAATTTTAATTTGATTTGATTTAATATTGTCGCATGTACCTAGGTATAGTGAAAAGTTTTGTTTTGCGTGCAGTACAGGCAGATCATACCACACAAAGAATTTAAGGTGATAGAGTAAGGAATACAAAGTTACAGCTGCAAAGAAGGTGCACAAAAAGCAAGATCAACCATAGACTTGAAATTTGAGAGATCTGCTCAGCAGGGTAGAAGCTGCTATTTGAACTGTTGTTCCATGTGCTTAAGTTTTTGTATCTTCTGCCTGATGGAAGAGGTTGGAAGAGATTATAACTGGGTTGGGAGGGGTCTTTGATGATGTTGGCTGCCCTTTCTGAGGCATCGAGAAGTGTAGATGGTGTCAATGGATGGAAGGTTGGCTTGTGTGATGGACTGGGCTGCGCTCACAGCTCTCTGTAGTTTCTTTTGTATCTGTTCTCGTTTTTGAAAGAATGAAGCTTTCTGATACTTTACCTGTTTTCTTTCATCTTCCAGATATTTTTGGCCATTTGAGGGGGATGGCAGAAGCCCATTTTAAAGAGGGGGTGGTATGTTTGAGCCACTGGAAACCTAACCAGATGGTCACCCTGATGGAGAGAAGGGTGGAGGGGTTGGTGGCTGATTCCACAAACATGGCTGCCCCAGTTTACTAGAGGAGTGAGCAGGGGAGGCATGACATCTGGGCCCAACCGTTCCTCACCTAATGTTGTTCTTGAGAATAGTTCAACACAAGTCACCAGATACTGAGCAGGAGCAGGAACCCTGGCTGACCCGCTGCCCTTTGTAACCTGGCAGATGGAGACAATTCAATACAGACCAGGGATCAAACTTGGGATCTTTATCATCTGTATAAGTGCTTTCATTCTTTTGAAAGTGCAGCCAACAGAGTGGGATCAAATTTCCCTCCATTGGTCTGTATGAACAGGCTGGTTTGGTTATCTCAACATCAGAAAAACCACTAAAAAGAAAGGGTAAGGGTTCAGGATTAGTTAGCTGGTCTTAGCAGTGCAAACTGAAAGGACATTAATTTAGATAAATGTGAGGTGCTGCATTTTAGTAAAGCAAATCAGGGCAAAACGTATATAACTTAATGGTAAAGTCCTGGGGAACGTTGCCAAACAAAGAGACTTTGGAGTGCATGTTCACAGTTCCTTGAAAGTGAAGTGAGTCGCAGGTAGACAGGATAGTGAAGTGAGTCGCAGGT